GCAGAAATAAAGAATACATTGGAAGGAATAAACAGCAGGTTAGAGGAAGCTGAGGATAGGATCAGTGAATTAGAAGACAGGGTAGAAAAATTCACTCAATCAGAGAAGCAAAAAGAAAAAACAATTAAAAAACAGGAGAACAGTTTAAGGGAGCTGTGGAACAACATGAAACATAACAATATTCACATTATAGGAATGCCAGAAGAGGTAGAAAGTAAGCAAGGGTTATAGAACCTTTTTGATGAAATAATGGCATAAAAGTTCCCTAACCTGGTCAAGGAAAAAGTCACACACGTTCAGGAGGCACAGAGAGTCCCAAGCAAGAAGAATCCAAAGAGGCCCATGCCCAGACACATCATAATTAAAATGCCAAGAATCCAAGACAAAGAGAGAAGCTTAAAGGTAGCTAGAAAAAGCAATCTGTTACCTACAAAGGAGCTCCCATAAGGCTGTCAGCTGACTTTTCATCAGAAACTCTACAGGCCAGAAGGGAATGACATGAACTATTCAAAGTAATGCAAAACAAGGATCTGAAACCAAGACTATTCTATCTGGCAAGACTATCATTCAAAAAAGATGGTGAAATAAAGAACTTCCTAGACAAAAAAAGGCTAAAGGAGTTTATCACCACCAAACCAGCATTGCAGGAAATATTAAAGAAACTGCTATAATTAGAAGTAGAAACAGAGGAAAGAGAAACATAGACATAAAGAATTAAAATGGCAAGAGATAAGTATCTATCAATAATAACCTTAAATGTAAATTAAATGCTCCAATAAAAAGACATAAGGTAGCTGAATGGATAAGAAAACATGACCCAAATAGATGTTGTCTCCAAGAGATGTACCTCAAAACAAAAGACTAACACAGGATGAGAGTGAAGGGATGGAAAAAAATTTTCTATGCAAATGGAAATGAAAAAAAAGCTGGGGTAGCAATACTCATATCGGACAAAATAGACTTCAAAATGAAGATCATAACAAGAGACAAGAAAGGTCACTACATAATACTAAAGGGATCTAGCCAACAAGAGGATATAACCTTGATAAACATATATGCACCCAATACAGGAGCACCTAAATTTATTAAAAAAAACTTCTAGAGGACTTAAAGGTAGAGATCAACAGCAAGACCGTCATATTAGGGGACTTTAACACTCCACTGATTTTTTTTTTAAAAATATATCTTTATTGATTTCAGAGAGAGGAAAGGAGAGGGAGAGAGAGAGACAGAAACATCAATGATGAGAGAGTCATTGGG